ATGTAAGTTTTTAAAAAATTTTAATGTATATGAATGTATTGCCTGCATGTATGTGCATCCATATCATGCAATGATCAGAGAGACCAGAAGAAGGTGTCAGGTCCCCCAGAACTGGAGTTACCAACAGTTGTTAGCCACCATGTGGGTGCTGGGAACCGAACCAGGTCCTCTGCAAGAGCAGCCAGTGCTCTTAACCACTGAGCCATCTTTCCAGCTCCCATCTTACTTTTTGAGAAAGGGCCTCTCACTGAACTTGGAGCATGCAGATTTAGCTAGACTGGTCAGCAAGCCCCAGGGATCCTCTTGTCTCAGCCTTCCCAGCACTAAGATTACAGGCACGCAGCACTGCACTCGACTTTTTATGTGGATGCTGAGGATCCAAAGTCAGATCCTCATGCTTGGGGTAGCCAACACTTTGCCAATGGATCCATCTTCCTAGCCCCAAGAATCGTTTGTTTTCTTAACTAAGTTCTTGAAAAGTTTTAAGAAACTTCTTTTCAGTACTAATTTGAAAAATCATTTTCTCATATAATAAATTATTGGGGTCCTCAAATGTGTTTCTTCCCCAGAGTGCTTTCTAAAATGGAAACTTGAATGCTTTACTTGCCTGCTTACAATCTTCCACTGGCTCCTCAGAGACATCAAAATAAAATTCAAATTCAAAAGCAAAGCATATAAGGCTTGTTGTCCATCCCTCACCTCCTCCTGCTCCCCTCTGCTTTTTATGTTAGCTAATGTGCCACTATATTCACCCACAATGCCCTTCTTCACCCTTACTCCAGCTAATTCCTACACGTTTTCTATGGTATGACATAGTCTTTGCTTCTTGTTAAAAAAATTACACCTTCACACACACACACACACACACACACACACAATCCTCCATTCCATTTTTTTTTTTAGTTTTTATCATAGAACTCATTATGCCATATTGAAGTTGCCTGTTTATTTGTATATTTCTATTTGTTTGAATTGGAACTCTCAAGTCCTAATACATAATATTCTTTAGATACATGCTTATGGAATAATTACTTTTAACTTGACTGTCTTCTGCCAGACTTGCTAGACACAAAAAATGACACCAAGGTAAATCTTGGTTCCTTTCTGAATTTACTTATGATTTGAGTTTAGGTGTGCAAGAAAGTTCAGTTTAAATGAAAGCCAACAGCTACACAATAAGTTTCTTAAAAATCTATGCTAAGGGGCTGGAGAGATGGCTTAGTGGTGAAGAACACTGAATATTCTTGCAGAAGACCCGGGTTCAAATCCCAGCACCCACATGGCAGCTAACAATTGTCTGTAACTCCAGTTCCAGGGAATCCGACAGCCTCTTCTGTCCTCTGAGGGCACTGCATGACACGGGTACACTTACATGCAGGCAATACACACATACACATGAAAATATAAAAATAGGGGCTGGAGACATGGCTCAGCGGTGAAGAACACTGACTGTTCTTGCAGAAGACCCGGGTTCAAATCCCAGCACCCATATGGCAGTTAAAAACTGTCCGTAACTCCAGTTCCAGGGGATCTGACAGCCTCTTCTGTCCTCTGTGGGCACTGTACGACACGGGTGCACTTACCTATATGCAGGCAGTACACATGTACACATAAAAATAATAAATAAAATATTTAAATATATATATAAAACTTTTTAAAAATCTATGCTAAATATATAAATTTGAAGACAAAATAAGATATAATCATCAAATGCATTAAAATGTAAGTGTGGCCAGGCATGATGGCGCACGCCTGTAGTCCCAGCACTTGGGAGGCAGAGGCAGGCGGATCTCTGTGAGTTCAAGGCCAGCCTGGTCTACATAGTGAGTTCCAGGACAGCTGGGACTACAGGGAGACCCTGTCTCAAAAAGACCAAAAAAAAAAAAAAAGTAAGTGTGAAATGGTAGGCAGCGAAAATGATAGAAAATCAAGTATACTGTACCTTTCTTCAATTTAGTTCCTCAATTACATCCACCTAACATGTAACATCCATATCTAGAATCAGCTATCAAAAACTATGTAGTTATTCATTCCATGGTTGGCTTGAAAAATGCTGGATCCTCACTTGAGGATCACCCAAATTATTTTTTTTGAAGCAAAGTTGGGAGTTTTCACTAGAATTTTTTTTATTTGTTTGTTTGGGTTTTTTTGTCTTTTTGAGACAGGGTCTCCCTGTAACCCCAGATGTCCAGGAACTCATTATGTAGACCAGGCTGGCCTTGAATTCACAGACATCCGCCTGCCTCTGCCTCCCAAGTGCTGGGATTAAAGGTGTGCACCACCACACCTGGCTCAGAGATGTTTTAATATAGACTTTAAGCATGAAGGTTAAGAGAAAGACAGGGAGGGAGAAAGGGAGGGAGGGAAGGAGGGAGGAAGGGAGGGAGGAAGGAAGGAAGGAAGGAAGGAAGGAAGGAAGGAAGGAAGGAAGGAAGGAAGGAAGGGAAGGAAGGAAGGACGGACCTCAGAGTATAAGTATGGGTTTCTCAAAGAAGAGTTACAGTTTATTAAAAAGACATGTTCAGCAAAGATTTTAAGCACAGAGTTAAGAGCAAGAGATTTGCCCGGGGAGAATAAGGCATACCCAAGTGTGGTAATGGATCACCCAAACTTCTAAGTGGCCAATTCTATAACACCATGAGAGATGGTCTTACTTGGTACATTTGCTCTGATCCAACTTTCCTAGAATGCCTGTTCAACTTCAAACAAGTTTCATTAAATACTGAAATATTGAAAATTCCATCATCTTCTATGAGATCGACTTCTAAAAGACAAGAGAACATATAAAAAAGGTTGTGTCATCTTAGCAAAACATCATGGCTAAATGAAAGTGAAACTCTAACGCTCTCAGGGGACTGGTACAGTGTTTAACATAAAGAGAACTAAGTTTAAATTTGGTATTAGTAGACTTAGCTTCAAGCCCTAGCTCTCTACAATTTCGTTTGGGTGTGTGTGGGTGTGCGCTCATGTGTGTATTTAACTGCTCACCACCTTATTTTTTGAGACAGTCTCTTGCGGACTCTGGAGCTTGCTGACTGCTAGGCTGGCTGGCTAGCCCCAAAGATCCTCCTGTCTTTACTTTCCTAGGGCTAGAAATACAAGCATGCACCACTGCTCCCAGCTTTTTCACTTGGGTTCTAGGGATTGAACCTTGTCATTTATGATAAACACTTCACCAACTGAGCCATCTCCCGAGTCCCTGTTTCTTTTTCCAGTTTTTGTTTGTTGCTTGGTTGGTTTTGTCAGTTTTTTCAGTTTTGTTTCTGTTTTGAAACTGGTTTTGAACTTGATATGCAGTTCAGGCTGGCCTCAAACTCAGAATCTCCCTTTCTTGGCCTCCAGAGTGCTGGGATTATAGGGATGCATCACCACATCCAGAAATAAATCTTCTGAGTTGTAAAAGCTTAGGGAAGTTCAAGTGCCTTGAACTCTTCTGAACCTCAGTTTTCTCATTTGAAAATCAAGTTACTCAGCTTGCTTTCTTATATCATGAGCTGCTGAGAGAGCCAAGTGAAACATTCAAATATTGTTGAAACTACTAAAGCTGTGACTTTTGTAGAAAGTTAATTTTATTATTAGATGGGCCATAGTAAAACATGAAGATAAGCATAACCAGTGCACAGACTTTTTAAGGATAAGGGAAATGGTGAGTAAAAATCAAAGGCTACAGATTAGGAATCTCAGGACCAGAGCTTTCCACCTAGAAAATGGCCGGAAAGCAGATGGTGAGGCAAAAAGGCACTGTAGTCTTCCTAGACATGCTCATCTGGGCTCGGCTAAGGCAGTCAGCAACCAGGACACAAACCTGTTTCAACCATTATTCTTTACTTCCTGTGGGAAGAATCATCCCTGCAAGATTTGGTGCTAAGGATTGAACCCACAGCCTCACACATGTAAATCAAGTATTCTACACTAACCCCAAGCAAACATTTATCTATCAGATTTAAGCAAATATCTATCGGAGAAGAGCTATTTTATAACTACCTTTAATATTTATTTCTCCCATAGGAGTTTGTGCCACCTAAAAAATATTAATGATGATGGAAAATTATTCCAGTCAAAACCAGACCTGCCCAAAGCATTTTCAGTATCATTAACATATGCAATACAAGGCAATTAGCTGAGAGAAAATATTTCTGACTATAACTAGAAAATGAGAAAATATGGTTATAAGGCTCTGTAGGCCTGTCACTGTGTTCTTTATCTTCACTGCTTTTAAAGATTTTATAAGGACATAGAAAGAAAAAAACAGCCACATATACCACATGGTTTTAAAGAGAGTCAAATGTATGCATGTGAGAAATGTATGGAAAACAGCACATTAAGTCTGTGTCTGCACACAAACAGAACACAAGCAGAAATATCGTCTGCAAGTTCCCGCTCAAGACAGTTTTCATATAACACAGCCATTACAGTCAGAATTCAAGGGAAGATGACACTGAGAACAAAGACATCTGGCTTCCTCTTCCCACACCCACTCCTGACAGAAGTGACTGAGAATAAGTAAAAATGGGTCAAAATTTGCATCTGGGTTGGATGGAAAGGTCGGTTGCCATATGCAAGGCAGAAACATGAAGACTTCTATGCTTAGCACAATAAAAGAGACCAGGCTAAACAGGGACTCCGAGTGACTATTCAGCCTGCCTTCCAAACAAATGAGATAGTCTCCACATTTCAAAGGAAGGAACTAGAAAACTGGAGGCCTTGGGGGAAGCCAAACAGGACACAGGACAAGTCGATGATAAATGTCCTTGTAGAGTCATAGCATATGAATTCCCAAATCTAAGTGCACATCAGGACTACACAGACACAGCACCTCTGAAGTGATGCTTGGACATCTAGAGTGCTTTTTAAAGTTCACCAGGTAATTCTCCCTACCAAGTACTAACCAGGCCTGACTGACTCTGCTTAGCTTCTAAGATCAGACCTCAGGAACAGGAAGACAATGTGACAGAAGTCCTGGGCTAATGGCCTCTCTGCTGCTTCAGTGGGCTGCAGCACCACAATGAAGCCAGACAGAGCTGAGCTAGCTCAAGGTCAATGGCTTCACAAATCAACATAGCAAGATCCCTGGAAATTAGGCTCAGGGAGATGGGCTTCCCCACAGCTGGCCTCAGAGGAGACCAGCTCACTTAACCAGCAGTAAACCCTTCACAGGGAAGATGCAGATATGCACACTAATATTGTCCAGTGAAAAGTGAGATCAAACAGAATTACATCCATCTTATTAGAAGGAAACTATCAGTCTAGACAGAACTTTTATCTTCTCAGAATAATCTAGAAGCGCATACACACACACACACACACACACACACACACACATCTTGCTGCATTCTCCTGGAAGGCAGACCAAAAAAAAAAAAAAAAAAAAAAAAAAAAAAAAAAAAAAAAAAAAA